TCAATTAAAATAAAAGACCAAATAAAAATAGAAAAATGCTCAAGCAGCAGCAATGTAAAAAGATAGGCATCTGTACTGTGCCTGTCTTTTTTCTCCCACGGCTTAATACCACCCTGGAAGCATATTGGGCCCTCTTCCCCTGTGTCACAGACCTGAATGTATGGGGATCATATCATGGGTCTTCAGTGTGAGTTGTGGATTGGCTTATGTCCTCACAACAGGGTATAAAACCTTTAAAAACAATGCATTAAGGCTAATAAAATCTGAACCAAAATTATTATAGAAGTAGCAATGAAATCATAGTACAAATGCATTTGCATGCATTTCTTTTTATGCGGCTTTTTGCCGCAATGGGGGACCCGAAGAGGCTTAGAACATAGTTCTCCCTTCGTCCATTTTTGCACAACAACCCAGTGAGGTAGGTTAGGCTGAAAAAATGAGACTGACCCAAAGTCACCCAGCGAGCTTCCATGGTAAAGTAGGAATTTGAACCTGGAGCTCCCACAATCCTAGGCTGACACTCTATTCTATGGATCCCCAAAATGGTGCTCACGGGAGCTATGACATCCACTAACACCTTTCCACCAAGTGTTTTTAAAAAGTGGTCAGGTGCAGGTGGGGCTTTTGCTCATCAAGGCTTCTGATTTGCCACTAGAGATTAGATTGGCTGAACAGCTATTTAAAAATGTTGTTTAGGCAGCAGCTGCCACCACAGCATAAGGATTATCACTGTGTGACTGAAGGTAAACTCTGGCAGCAGCCATTTTGTGGCTAACTCCACCTTCTGTGGCAGCCATTTTGTGTAGCCATTTTGTGGCTGTGCCCACAATGCTATGTCAAAATTCCAAAGATTGGGGACCTCTAGTCTGTTCACTACACCCACACTGGCTGAATTCATGTTAAGTGGTTTGTTTGCCCCCCCCCACTCCCTCAGTCTTTAGTTCCTAGTGAAGCATGTTATTTATCACTACCAGCCCTGTAGCCAGAAATTTTTTCAGGGGGGACACCAGGGTGGTGCTACCTAAATTAAATTAAAATACATTTTAAATTAATTTTAAGATTAAATTAAATTTTATTAAATTACCGGATGCAGGCTGCTGTGTCCCACACGACCTTTGAGGTTTCCCAGCCCCAACAAAGCCAGCAAGGCTTTTCTAGCCCCGCAAGTGGAGACCGCCATGTTCCACTTGGGGCTGGGGGAGGGAGGATTGGTTTCTGAGTCAACATGAGACAGGCCCCTTTCTCTGAAGGAGACCGTTCCCCATGCATGCTCTCATGGCTGCTATCCCGTGTGGGTTGCCTCAAGCAGGTGCTTGCTGGGAAGGAGCCCACAGGATTGCCCACCGGCCAGGAGACGCCCTTTGGCCCTGGTGCACTGGAGAGGAAGCCTTGGCCCAGAAGGCTGCTGCAGGTGAATGGTGTGCCGGTGGGACTCCCTGCCACTGGGCCACTGGCCTCGGAGACTTCCAGGACTAGGCTGTAGGGGGTTGCAGTGTCTTGTTGCTTCCTAGTCATGGAAACAGCAGAGGAAACATCTTCCTCAAGGGTGGAAAGATGAAGGAAGGAAGGAAATCACACTTCGGGCTGGTGTAGCCTGAAGCATTGTGGCTTAAACAAGACATTTAAGTGTAACTTCAAACAAGAAAAGGAAGACTGGAGTGGGGGCACTGCAGATGTCATGGGGTGCCACCCCCAGCACCCCATGCTGGCTATGGCCCTGATCACCACCCACTGGCTGCCACCTTATCCACTTGGGAAAACACATGTGTGGCTTCTTTTTCCATCAAGTCACAGCTGATTTACAGCAACTGCATAGGGTTTTCAAGGCAAGAGTTGTTGAGATATGGTTTGCCACTGCCTGTCTCTGTGTGATGACCACCATGTTCCTTAGAGGTCCCCCGTCCAAATACTAACAAGGGCTGACCTTGCTTAGCTTCAGAGATCTGATGAGATCAGACTAGGCTGGGCTATCAGGTCAGAGCATGTATAACATTAAACACACCTGGTGGCTTGTTAACATATCCTCACTAAAGAACCTCTTGAGAAATTAACAGTGCAGTCCTAAGCGTAATTACACCCATCTAAACCTGTTGACTTTGAAGACTGAACCCTTTGGAACTCTGTTTAGGAGCACACTGCAAGAATCTCTTCTAGGCACAGGGAAATTCTCATACATAATTTGAGAGTTGGTTTGTTTCTTGTGCCACAAATGGCTAAGAGGAACACACGGGCAAGTAGGGAGGTAAGGTAACATTATTTGCGGGGCTTCTTAAATCAGCCCACTACTTAGCAATGATGCAGAGCTTGGAACACAACTGCCCAGGGCTGTTCCCCTTTCTCCAGAAACCTGCCTGGTTTTCGACTGATCTTCTGGCATACCTATTCGGTATTCCATCTGTTGAGATTTTCTCACCTGTAAGAAAATGCTGCTCTTGAAGGGCATTAATCGAATCCAGCAAGCCCCGTTTCTGATAATCCTAGCACTGTCCTAGCCATAATACACCACTGACAGGTAGCAATTTACAGCTAGAGTTGCCATCAGATTTCACCTAAAACAAAATGTGAGATGAATTGGGGAAGTCCTATACATGCAAAAGAAATCTGTAGAATTTTCAAGGAAATTCGTAAAGAATTTTGGCGAACTGCCCGGTCACCTTGGAAGTCTGGTACTCAATGAACAGCTTGCAATTTATTTCAGTGAAGAGGATTTCTGCCAAGGATGGCATCTCTCAGTTAAGGTACTTTATATTTACCCAGTTCATTTAAGACTCCCTGACAGTACAAACACAACAAAACTTAAGGAAGCCCTATTAAAGGGGGGGGGGGAATGAGCAATGCAGTACTGAAGGATGAAGAGAAAATGGGCTGCACCCAGCAAAGTACTGAAGAAATGAGTAATACAGTACTGAAGGATGAAGAGAAAATGGGCTGCACCCAGCAAAGTACTGAAGAAATGAGTAATACAGTACTGAAGGATGAAGAGAAAATGGGCTGCACCCAGCAATGTGCCAACAGAACAAAAAGGGGGAAATGGCAGGTGACAGATGACTGATTTTTTTGTTTTACAAAGTCCCCACACGTTTCACGACGCAGGCTTTGTTGGGGAAATCAGAGCATCCCCTTAGTGCTGGAACTGTCCACAGCAATAAACGGACTTAATTGCTGTGGACAGTTTCCAGCACTAGGTGAATGCTCTGATTCCCCCTGATGAAAAATGCCGAATGGATCCATGGAACTCATGGCCACTGGATGCCTGTTTGCATAAAATAAACCATATTACAGAAAGGAATAAATACAAATGCGGAGGATCTATCTAATAATAGCAACTTGACAGTTAGAAATTGCTACTGTCCATTTTCAAGAGGACTCAAGTAAAACAACAAATTCAGTACCGCTGGAACTGGCGGAGAGCACCTTTGGACATGTCTGGCATTCTTTTATTACTGACGAACCACTGACCGTTTTCTGGAGATCTCCCGCACCCAGGTCGGAACAGAGTTCACAGTTGTAAGAAGCGATTAAGCCCCGCACGGGAAATGACTGAACGCCCCCCCCACCCTCTGTGAACGCTGCCGAACGCTAAGCTTAAGTAGAGCGCCGGTCAATGTTCCCTCTAAGCTATGGAGTTCGTTGAGCAAAAATTCTACTTTGTGAGCGACTGCCATTAAAGTGGTGAGCAGGTGATTTGGCTACTGTATAAACTAGTTTGCTCTGGAGCCATCCTTCCTGAGCTGAGACAAAAATCTGTGAGCTGGAGGCTAAAAAACTGTGAGCTGGCTCACACTAACTCAGCTTAGAGGGAACACTGGCGCCGGTCTGTCGCGATCATTGCTGTGCTCGGCGCGTGAACCGAAATAGCTCTGCTCCCGTTACAGCGCAAACGATTGCAAGAACAGGTAAGGCAGCCTCGTTCAACTGGAGCCCGCCGGAGGGAACCTGGCAGCACGGATTTCATTCAAGAGCGGAAACCTCGGAACGCTCCGTAACGTCTCCAGAGGAGGCTTCGCCGGCTCGTCGAGCATCCCCTGCCCCCTGTGGCCACGCCCACCAGCCGGCACACCGCCGCGGCTGCCTCATTGAGAAAACCACTCGAGGAGGAAACTGGCCTGAAGATCGATGGCTGCTGCTGGGCAGGGGTGGTGTCAGGGGCGAGGAACAACAGGCAGAGGCCCGCAGGGAGAGCTTTCTCAAGCGCAGCGCTGGGGGACGTCCCCCCACCCCCACCCCGCCTCGCCCCGTCCCGCTTTCCAGGACGCCGCTCTTCTACTAGGAGAAGCCATGCAAAGCAGAGGGAGATTCGAACGGCTTGGCACGAACAGCGTGGGACAGTGTGGGAAACGGCTGGCTTTTGGAGCCGTGCCCCGCAAGGGAGGGAGAGCGTTGGGGGGCTCAGAGGAGGAAGGAAAGAATCGGGATACAGACGTCGCAAGAGAGGGCGGCTGAACCAGCGCTGGGCTAGACAAACCCGGGGAGGGACGGGCGTGCCCTTCTCTTGTTGCAGAACAGAACAGAACAGGTGTGCGGTAGCACTTTAGGGGTATCGGCTTTGTTGGTCTGTGCATCCTGGCTCTGCTGCCATCAAGTTGTCATCGATCAAAAGGATCGCTGTACCCTTTTGACTGACAGAACTTTTTGGAGGACAGCAGGTACGCCCATTGGCTAAAGGGCAGCCAAGTGGAACCCCAATGTACAAACGCAGTATATCTCCCCGAATAACAGACGCCGGAGAGACCGTATCAGAAGCAGGCAATCGCCTTCCTTACGAGAGAGGAGAGCAGACCCTTGGTCTGGTCCAGTTAGGGCAATCCTTATGTGGTTTGGAAGAGAGATGCCAAAGAGAGGGGTCAAACCTCACGGGCACCCTTGCTTCCCACGGGAAGGACAAGAAAGCAGGAGAGAAAGGGGGGAGAGGCAGAGAGCTGAGCCAGGGGAGGGGGCGGCTGGCTCTGGGGGGGGGTACCCTACCCCCCTGGCCGTCCCGCACGGGCCGCCCCCCTCACCTGTCCACGGCGATGGCGGTCATGGAGTAGATGCTGGCGAAGACGGCGGTGATGGGGAAGAAGTTCTGGAAGCGGCAGTAGGCCTCGCCGAAGTACCACTCGCCGTGCACGGCGAAGGTGAAGTTGACCAGCGTGTTGAAGGCGGCCACGGAGGCGTCGGAGAAAGCCAGGTTGACCAGGAAGTAGTTGGTCACCGTCCTCATGCGCTTGTGGGCCAGGATGATCCAGATGACGATCAGGTTCCCGAAGACGGCCACGGCCACCATGGCGCTGTACGCCAGAGACCAGAGCGCGATGCGCCACGACGGCTGCACGAACTGGTTGGAGAAGTTGGCGGGCGGCGCCGCCGGGAAGGAGAGGTTGCCGTCCGGGGGAGACCCTGCCGCCCCGCTGCTCTCGTTCCAGCCGCCGGTCTGGGCGCCATCGCTCGAGTTGACGGCGGGGACCGAAGTCATCCTCGCACCCCCGACCCTTCCCGGGCCGAGGAACCGCGCCTTCCCTTCGCCCCCTCCCCCCGGGGACTGGGGGGAGGGCGAGGG